GAGAAAGGGAGGCAGCTTCTACAGCTCCTACCCAGGAGCAGCTGTTTTTTTGCATTGCACAAGTTAAGGCTGCCTTGATACAAACTCCAGCTTCAGCAGCATTTTACAAGGACCCAGAATTGTGGAGCATAAGTGTGCGCCATTCATTGTCTTCTCCACCTCCTGTAACCTCATTTCCAACCCGGAAAGCTTTGCCTGCAGAGGAAATGGAAGAAGGTGGTGAAAACTAGTACTGACATACTCTCTGTGGCAAAAAATACACATCTGTCAGATGTCTGTTTTGAGCATGCAAAGCTGGGGCAGCAGAGCTAAAAGCGCAATTCCAGCAGGCCTTGGAATAGTTTCCCTTTATTTTTTGATAGCACAGCAAGATTCCTAGGGGTTTTCTCCTACATTAACATTAGAAAAGCAATCTTTAAAATTAGTTTTATTTTTTGTATTTAGAAATCAGTTACATTTACAGGAGTAGAATTCCACTCAGAGAAAGAAAAGCCTGCATACCTACTGAGCTTTGTCTAATCTCCTCTTGGGGTTAACCCAGACTTTTTTCACACTACACTGATTTCTCATTTCAGAAGAGGAGATTTGTCTCTCTTGGCCCCATATCCTTCCCCAGCATTTAGCTTTGCAAAACTGGTAATGAGGGACATCTTGGAGCACTGAGAGTTCAGTGGATGGAGCCAAAAGCATCTGAGCCTTATGCTGGGAAAACTGCGATTCCAGATGCATCCCAGGCAGCCTCTGCTCACAGTCACCACTCCCAAATTACTGATACACCTTGTAATTTACTATTACAGTTTTAACATTGAATTTTTCCCCAAATACACTGAGCTGCTTACCCTATACCCAAAACACACAAGTAATGGAAAATCATAGTCCTCCTTCAATGCTTTGTGGCCCAGTCTAAGAAACCCAGCACTGTTGTTTGAACACTACAATTTTACAGTTAAAATAGCCAGAGTTCAGCCCTTTTGTTGCTGGCAATCTGCATGTGTGTACGTGAGAGAAGCAGTGGGAGTCTGTAAATACGTAGGTTCACCCTCTGCTTCTGGTCCCCATGGTAATTCAATCTGTGTTTCAGCACATACAGTGCCTGGCCACAGCCGCCTATTCCAGGTTTCTCAGTCTAATCATTGGCAAGGGCAAAGCTGCCAGAAACTAGATTCAGTAACTGGCTTCCAATTTTTTGGCCAGAGGTTGTCAGGACAAAGAAGAGAAAACTGCCAACTATGTCTCCTCCATACAGTCTGTGTCTTTTAACGATACAGCAAAACCTCAAGAGAGGAAAATGAACTTCCCCTCTGCCCAGCCCCAGTGACTGCCCTCCCCAAAATCCTCACAATTAGGGGCTTGTATCTCAAATGGTCCTGCAGGATAAAGCTGCACATGTTGTCTAAGGCAGAAACCTTGTCAAACATACAAAAGCCAACAATGCTGCATAAAACAGGGCTTATGATATACTATGGTGTGTTGGCTTTTTCTGCCTCTCCAGCAGCTGACCTCTCTTTTCTGCCTCTCCTGAGCACTGGAGATGGGCAGATTATAACAGGCCTGGTGTCAGCCCAAAGCATGAACAAAGGTAGAAAGCTCATCTCTATTGCCAAGGAAGGGAACAAACTCGCATCTGCAGAGATCCAATACCCCAGAATAGATCCCTCAGTATTATTTGTATTTCTACAGACTTAACGAAAATTAGAAGCTGGGTGGACAGGGACACAAATGGGTGTCATCACCGAGGACTCCACTGCTGTGTATTCTGCATGGTGAGCAGCAGGCTGCCACCCACACCACCCCTTGCACCAGAGGTTCATACACACAACGGTGCAGTCTTTAGCGACAGCTTTAAGGAGCAGAAAGGACTCAAGTACCCATGAAAAGAGATTTCATTCACGCCACTTTTATGGAACAATTTGGTTTCCTCAGCCAATTGCAGTGTCCATGAACTCTCTGTAGGCAGCTGTAGTAGAGGGTAGCTTTTTCCCTGCAATATCAGAATTTCCATGGAAAGAGGTACTGGGTTACAGCTCTTGTGATAGCGGCAAAGGGAGGGGGAATTGAGACCAAGGGCTGAGAAAAGAGGAACCCTGAGAGGCTGTGGTGGCAAATGCTGATGACAAAAAAAGGACTGACCCCTGGCCCTGGTCATTTGCGATAGAAAGTGTGACTCCAGAAGGGTGGTCCTTCACAAAATGAAATTATGATTAAGTATCCTCATCTCCCTGGTCAACCAAATGAACAGGTTTCAGAGGGATTGTAACATAGGAAAATAGGACTAAAAATCATTGCTTTGATCGTCACTTTGATACAAACAACTTTCTAAGCACGCTTGTTTATTTCTTCTCAAATAGGTTTACGTTTGTTTCCCCCACAGCCTAAGCATTTATCCCACCATCAGAACTGTGTCTTCAAAAGCAGCAACAAACAGGTAAGATTTCTCCCTTCCTGGCTATCCTCCTGACCTGAACTGTGCAAACTGCCTAAAGCTTTCCTTGAGGGCACGAATATAGAGAGAATTCACAGATACCATGAATTTTGTACTAGAGATCTGATGCTTGGAGAGGTCCACAGTTCTCCTCCCTGGGGGATAGGCTGCTTCATCTAAGACACTACAGTTTCATGTTTGCCTGTGTGCTATGATGCTGGGCAAAAATACCCAGATAGATTAGATTAAATGCTATGTTCTTCTCACACCCCAGCTACAGATCTCAAAACTATGAAACACTGCTTGCCCTAGATCACACAGTCAGTCAACTTCTAAGAGAAACCTATGAATCCTCATTATCCCTACTAACTGCTAGGTTTACCCCTTCTCCCTGCCCTGAAACATCAGATGCACATCCCTTTGTGCCATCCTGAGCAACAGATCACTTGCATCCACTTACAAGGAATGGAAGAGGCCTAACACAGGGACCGTGAGCAGTGCTTCTCTAACGTGGCAGGATCAGCACTGTCCCTCACCTTAGCACTATCAAGGAGGTGGTTCCAGACAAGCTGCCATGGTTGAAGACAGTGACAGCATTTAACTGAAGCAAGAAGCTGCTCTGAGTGCTGCAGCTGGGAAACATCCTGGCTATGAGAGGTTTGCATTGAGGCTTTACCTCTCCTGCAACATGGATGCTCAGAGTCTCTTTCAGTGATTTGTTAACTGGGAGGAATTTTCACTTGTGGCAGCCCCAGTAAACCCTGGGCTGGATTCTCCTGAACGCAGCGCACTGCCCAGAGGCTGGTTTTGCCTTCAGGGTGCTCTCTCCCAGTGCTGCAGGGGGAAGGAGCCTTTCGCAGGGCAGCACGAAACTCGTGCAAAAAATAACCACCCTCCCCTTGGTTCCCTTGCTGCTGCTGCTGCCTAAGTGGCTGCGTTGTGCGCAAGCAGAGAGAGGCCATCCCCTGGCTTCTGCTGCTTGCTCCCTAATGAGGCAAAGCGATTAATTACGTCCCTTCCCCGCGGAGGAGAAGCCGGGACGTGCCGGTGCCGCCGGCTGCCCTCTGCTGGGGCCGCCGCTGCCTTTCCCCCTCCCGGGGACACGGGGCTGGCTTCTTCCCCAACCCTGCCGTCAGATCCCTCCCGGGGTCCCCAGCCTGGGGGGGGGGGGGGGAAGCCAGGGCCGTGTCTCCGAGAGCTACAGAACGAGGAGCCCTAGGCTCATGCGATGGCTTTATCTTGTAAAGCGTTTACGTGCTGGCTGGGGAAGCATCCAGAGCCTCCTGCACCAGCACAGGGTTGGAACAAACCCCAGGTGGCATGTCCCACGGCCCCTCAAGTGTCTCTGTGGATCAAGGTGGGGGGGGTCAGGACAGCGAGATTAATGCATTCCTATACGGAGTTATCTCCACGTGGAAGGGCAATGCCTGCACCAGCGCGATGCCAGCAAACCAGTGCTGGTGAGCTGGTCACAAGTGGTGGGGAGGAAGGACTGCTGGCAGCTGTCCGGCAGGAATGCGATTCCATGGATATTTCCGAGTGTCTGGATGAGTTGTGGGGGTTTTGTACCCCACTTTGAGATAGCCAGTGTGGACTAGTGACAGTGACAAGGTGTCTGTCCGGAAGGACAGTCTTCCCACTGCAGCAGGAGAGCACTTACATGTCAGTGTGAGGCTCAGGCTCTGTACACACTACCGTTTTTAACTCTGATGTCCTCAAAGCTGCCAGATGGAAAGGGACAGCTTAAACCGCTTCTGAGAGCTGCTGAATTTTAATCAGGTAGAGGAGGACAATGCGTGGCAGGCAAACTGTTGCCATCCTTCTGCTCATTGAATAGTATATAGAAAGAAAAGTGAGGATGCACCCACGCAGTGCACCTTTGTGGAGGACTGTATTATTACATTTGCACACATCTTGTCCTCCTGTGTTAGGATGGGAGTGTCCTGATGAGTTCAGTTCTTCTTTACAGTGTGACTAGGAAAGAAATAAAACTAATGCACTAGCTGTAGCTTGCAGATGTAAACACAACAATAAATGACACCCCTAGTCTATGGACACACAACAGAGAAAGCCCCATTAACAGAAGCCGTTGTTTATTCCCTCTGCAGGGTCTGGTACTGGGCAGGCTTTTGATTCTGCCCTCCCGTTTGCCAGCAGTGCGATGAGCAAGACTAGGATCCCGGTGGAAATCAGGATGATCCCACTGAACTCTATTCTATATTTACACCTAATGCTAAATATGCCACCGGAGCCACAGCCTGGCAGGTATCCTCTGAGGAACCTGAGAGCCTCCCGAGGACGGGGAACCCGAACCATCGAGCCACATCTCCCGGAACCCCCTTCCGCACAGACAGCACCCGTGCGGCGGAGCCTGACCGACAGCGCTGCGGCAGAACCCGGAGCGACACGCACCCTGTCGAACTACAATTCCCAAGATGCATCACGAAACCAGCGCGGGCTCCCTTGCGCTGCATTGTGGGTGTGCGGTCGCGATGCACCTTGGGATTTGTAGTTCTCCTGAACCACGGTTACGGGAGCTCTGCGGTGCTATGGCCTACAACTGCACCTCCTTGGGAGGACTCGCCTCCCCTTGATGCAGCGCGCCAGGATTACGCACAACTCAGCGCGCCTCAGGCGACGGTCGCAGTACCGGGGACCGCGGGAGAGCGGGCCGCAGCCGCTGGCGGGCCCCGGGAGCAGGCCGTGGGCCATGTCCGACAGCGGCGGCGCCGGCGGGGCCGCCCCGGGCGGGGGAGGCGGCGGAGCGGGCGGCGGAGGGGGAGCGGGAGGCGCGGCCTCAGGCTCAGGGCCCGGAGCCACCGATCCGGCCTCCCTGCCGCCCGGCGACGCGCAGCTCATCGCCATCATCGTGGAGCAGCTCAAGAGCCGCGGCCTGTTCGACGGCTTCCGCAGGGACTGCCTGGCCGACGTGGACACAAAGGTACCGCGGCCGAACCGGGCACGCCCGCCGGTCCCCAGGGAGCCCTGGATGTCTTCCCCCAGGGCAGCACCCCTGGAACCCGTCTCCCGTTTGCCGAAGGAGCCCCAACGTCCCTTCCCTTCCCCTTTGCCCACGGTGTCCCGCCGCCGGGACGGGGGAGGCCGCCAGGGTGGCGGGCAGAAGCTGCGGTGCGGTGGGGCTGCACACCCGCCCTGCGGTCTGTGCCTGTTAGGCCCCTCTGGAGCGGCTCCTGGCTTGAGGTGGTAGCAGCACCCCAGAGGAGAAACAGACCAGAGCGTAGGCTCAGACTTCATTTTCTAGCCCGGTCGTCATTAGGAAAATGGTTTCCCATAAGAACACCGCTCCTCTTGAGCATAATTCCCACATTTCCAAAACATTTAAGTTTTCTTTCGTGATGTTCTCAGACTGTTGTTTTAAACTAATTTCTCCCTCAGTCGCAACATGAACTCCTGAGCATTTGTTGGCAGTATTGAAGTTCATGACTGCCCTGTCAAAAGTGAACACGGATGTTTTGCTTTCCAAAACCTTTAAACTTCCAACAAGACTCCTGGGACCTGCAATTATCATTCTAGGCCTCCCCAGCAGCAATTGCAAAGCCATTCCTGAAGCTGTCAGGTCACCTGCCCAGAGCAGCCATAACGGAGAGCAGTTTTGCCAGGGTAGATACACACTGCCCAGGGCAGATACTGCACCTCTGTTACCAACCTTTTCATTCATCATCCCATATGCATCTCAAATTCTGAAATACAAATGTTGCCACTTTATTGTCCTTTCCTGGCACAACACCAGGTTCCTATGTATTTATATAGGTTTGTTAGCTCATTTCCTGTTCACTAGAATTAAGTCTCCACTGATAGAACTCGCATAATTCTGATCATCTTTATTAGTATCACAGAAACAAATAATTAAGTTCTTTGTTAGTGACAGCATTACTTGCCCAGTTTCCTGGAATTCTGTGATGGAGCATTTCTAGACAACAAGAACTCTGCTGTAACGTTAAATTCCTGTCTGCACAGGCTGTTTGCATTTCACCAAGTAATACTACAAGTAGACAACATTTTAAAGGCAATCTGCCCAGCTATTTGTATTATTATGATAGCACACTGACTGTTCTTTGCAGTTACTGGTTGTGTTCTTAGGTAAAACAATGTTACCTTTGTTCAGAACTTGAAAGGATGGAGAATACAGACAGCAGAACAGTAGTGTACATGACAAAAGATGTATTATGAAGGACTCTGGCAGGGGATTCTTTTGAGATCATTAAGCTGTTTAACTGGCCTGTTCCTTTTTTTTTTTAGCCAGCCTATCAAAATTTGAGGCAGAAAGTAGACAACTTTGTATCGACCCACCTGGACAAGCAGGAATGGAATCCAGCAATGAACAAAAACCAGTTACGAAATGGGCTAAGGCAGAGTGTGATTCAGTAAGTAAGCAACATTCTGTAAAATAATGATGCTATTTCATAAATAATGCCTAAATATCTAAGTCAAATAATGTACAGATTTAAGTTTTTCACACCACTTTCTCTCGTGCTTTCACAAATTTCATTGTAATTGTGGGTGCAGTCTTAAGTCTCATTAAAATGCTTATAGTACTGCTTTACCCGAAATTTGTATGTTGATGAGTTGAGTAGCATGATGAAATACTTGTATTAGCTATCTAGCCAAGTTATTACTGCAGATAGCCATCACTGTGCCTGCTGGCAAAACTGTACCGACCTGAATGACCTTTGTCTTCAGAAAACAGCTTACATCACTTAAAGAAAAAAACCCTAAGGTGCCAAAGCTTGTTTAGGTAGACTCTGACCACTAGCAGGCAGTAATCGCACTGGGCTAGGCTGATTTCGTGCAGCAGAGGATAGCTTTTGTACAGCTATTCAAGATGTTACATTTCCAGCATTACAGGAAAGCCAGCTTAAACTATGCTGCTCAGAGACTTAGGGTTATTATCTCTTGCTACTAATTCACTGCAACCTGAAGTAGGAGCCTTAGCTTGTTTAACTAAAAATCATAGATAAAAGATAAATAGTAAAAGTTGTGGGTAGAGGGGCAGTAGGGAACTTGATAATGGCATTTATGCTTATAAGGAAATACTATTAGATTGTCTCACACACAGAAGAAACCATATTTCAGAGTACTTGATGGAATATGTAAATCACTATTAGTTCGTTTAATCTGTAATTAGAGAAGGGGGTGTTCACTGGAAGTACAGAATTTCCTGTCCTTGAGACATATTTGTCACTAAATGCTTCCTCTTATTTCATGTTACGCTACCACTAGAATGAAGTGGACAACTGAAAAACGTTAAATCAGGGAGCCTGTAATGAGAAGAATGTAGCATGCTCCCTTTAAGTAGGCTATAGGCAGACAGTATTAAGGAGTTTGGAGGGTCCCTATCACTCCTGTAGTTGCATGACTGAGTGCTGCGGGTGTCCAGATGTGTGTGTCCTTTGTTGCATGCATACATATAGGTGTACTGTTACTTGGAGGTGACATGATGTGCCATGACCCTGTACCCACTCACAGCATTCATGGCCTTATTAGTCTTGTGGCTGCCTTTCCAAGCACCAGGCAACATCTCCATTTCCTGTCCCCTGCTCCCTTGCAGACATGACTTAAGCCTGCTAGGCAGCCTGTGCCCCACAATCCAAGAGTCTGGCGCAGCCCCTGAAGTAATAAGTCACTTCAGTTACTAGTTTTCAGTTCCAGAAGCTTTTCTGTGTGCTACATGTGCTTGTTTTTATAATTAATACCCATCTGTCTAGACTAACAGTTACAAGGAATGAGTGACAGCAATGTTATTAGGGGGCAGGCCTTTTCTCCCTCCAGACAGCCAAAAAAAAAGACTGTGCTTTCACCTGCCCTCCTCCTCAGAATAGCTTGTTTCCCTTGTTTGTGCCAAAATATGTTTGTTTGCTTTCATGTTGACCTCATTTCTACATAAGCCCTATTAAAGTGGCTCTTGTCCAACGTGCCATTTGAGTACCTGGGTGACCAGATGTCAGTTGTTAATTCTGTAGGGAGAAGTCAGAGGGGGTTGTGTGGAAAATAGGTGCTTGAAACAGCCCCCTGTTAAGGATCTACTGAGTGTGCTGCAGTTCTCACCATGTTCATGCTAATTGCAGTTGACTGGAGGGCTCTGGAGAATTACTGGAGGAGTCTGGGGAGAAGTTTTTCAGAGCAGCTGAATGACTCCTTTGTCTTTGTTCAAGGTCAGGAATGCTGGAAGCTGGAGTGGACAGAATTATTTCTCAGGTGGTGGATCCAAAACTAAACCACATCTTCAGGCCCCAGATAGAGAGGGCAATTCATGAATTTTTGGCTGCACAAAAGAAAGAGGAAAGTGTGCCAGCTCCTCCTCCAGAGCCTGAGAACAAGGATCCTCCTGCTCCATCTCAGGATGCCTCCTAAAGGTCTTGTATCCCTGCATTTACTACTCACGTCTTCCATGTACCTCATCTCAGTAGTTTGCAAAATGCAAGATAGAGAAGATGTCCTCTCTGTCAAACCAGGAAAAATACAACACTTTAATCATCAGCATGTTGTCAATGTCGCAGTCATTCTGAGCTGCTTCCACCGAAGTGTCTGCTAAAAATAGATTAGGACTGAAGACATAGGTATGATGTAAAACAGCTGTCAAGGAACACTAGACTCTTCCAGTGCCAGTTTTGGATCAGGCCAAAAGGCCATTTATTCCAGTAAAAGCATATCCAGCAGTAATTGACATGGAATTGGCTGGATAACTTTTAGAACAATATCAAATGGATTAAAAATATATATACTTTACTGAAATACAGCTGAAAGTAGAGGTGATGTGCTTTCTCATTGAAAGTTTTAGGTAGCTGTTCTTCAGAACATACACTGGAGTGTTGAACTGTCAGTGACCAAAATACTCATTGCTGGACTAAGGGTAATATCTCTGGAAGTGAATAACTGTTCATTCCAAGCTGACTGATTTAAGTTGATCAACCTATGTCTTTCCAGATGCCTTTGTTAAAAACAAGTTCATTGTGGCTTTTGTGATTAAAATAACTCAAGGGGCCTCAGGGGCTATAACTGCTACTCTGTCTTAACACAAATGACTGTGCACCCATCTCTGCTAAGGGCCTGTATCGTAGTGTTGATTTGAGGCCTGTGTGCACATTACTGAGGAACCACTGTCTTGGTGGAAAATTACAATCCGCAGCTTTGCTGGAGAACGTAAAAATCATGCTGCATGAAAGGAAGTTAATTGTGAATTGTTATCTGTGACTTGCAGCCTTAGTACCTTGAACCTTGTCTGGTTTAAGTAATTTGAAGTCCATTATAATCTACAGCTAAGTGCAGCTGTTAATTAATATATTCTAATTTATTCTTTATTTAAATGCATTACTTGTGAAGGTACCGTCCTCTAAACTCTCTTTTTTTCTTGCAGTGAGTTCCTGTTACTAAGCAGCTGCCGTTGCAAAGTGCGTGTCCTGTTAGATTGGCAATGGATGACTTGTTCCATTTGGTGCAGGAATGCTGTCTGCCAAAGATGAATAACCTTTATCAGACCTGTGGGAAGGCACTGAAATCAGTGAAATTCAGATGCACTTGGAGTTATGCATGTGGAGGCACAGAAAATTGTGAAGATACTTTTGTTATTAACTACAGTACAGAGGGCAGCATGTATCTTGTAATCATGCCTTCAGGCAAGGGTGTGGGAAGAAAAAGGGAGTTCGCTTGTGTCTGAAGAGGGTTGGGAAGTGGTTTGAGATGATACTAGACTTGGGATCGGGAAGAAAGATGTTTTGGAGTGGGGTAGTCTCTTGGACACCAAGTAAGAGCTGTCAGATTTGCTTTGATATAAACCAGGTAAGAGGAAGCATCATACACCTCTGCTGCATAGCACAGCATTGAGTAGTAGGTGCCAAGTTAGGTGTAACTCATTGCACTGCCTGCTTTAGGAAAGTCATTTCCTGTTTGAAACTGGAAAGAACACTTCAGGATCAATAATGTAAATAATTTCTGTTGCATTGCAGGGAAATGTTTACAGTTGGCTATGACTATAGCTGATTTAATTCTTATTTCCCAGGTAACTGGGGGGGGAGCAAAGGGCACCAGGGTAGGTGATCAATTTGAAACTTCTCTCTTTCAACTTGAAAGACTTTTCTTTCCTGTGAAATTTCTCAGGTGCCTAGTGGAAACTGTCCTATGCTTTCAGCTTGAATGCATGCAGTGTCCTCTGGATGACAGTCAAATAGAGAATGTGATCAAGTATTCTGCCAGCAAATGTCCATACCTTTTGCAATAAAAGACTTCAAAACCCATCTCTGACTCCTAGCTTTTGCAGAGTGGTTTTTGCTTTTGGTTTTTATTCTCAAGGAAAAACTAAAGAAATCCAGGAGTCCTGATTGCTGGAACCCCAATGGAAATGTGGCCTTACACAGCTCATAGATGAATCCACATCTGACAACGTGGGGTTATTAGTAGAAGTTATTATGAAATGAGATGGATACTGGTATTACTGTCCAGATAAGGTGTCTCTCAAAAAATACAGAGTATCAAATAAATGAACTGACCTTACATCATTAATGATCTGTGAATCTTAAGTTCAATCCTGTGCTAGTGATGGTGAAAGCATGTTCAGCCTTGTGAAAACAAAACACTTATGGCAATAGGCTAGAGCTATTCCTTTTTTCTGTTCAGACAGCAGTCATTTAAAAAACTAGTATCTGCTTCTGTCATTGAATAACACAGCAATGTCTGAATCCTTGCTATTGATGGGTTACATACCTTAGCTATGGCCTTACCTATAGACCTTGTATGCAAACAGATGCAATTCCTGCTATGCTCTGCTTCCTTTCAAACCAGGTAATTTGTAGGGAAGATTGATGCTGAGGTTCAATTCAGTAGCTAACTTATTTTGCTTAGTACCTCGTCTCAACACAGTTACATGCAGAAATGGAGATGAGAACATCTGGTACTCTAAATCCTTCACAAGAGCTCTGAGAACTTCACTGCAGTAAGACTGTACTATGCACAGTGCTGTGTAGTCCTGCTGACACATGATTTTTCCATCAATATTTTTATCCCATTCCTGTCAAAATAGGAACTTAAATGCCTGTACTTTTCAGTAATGTACTGGCTATAACCTTCCTGATATAGTTTGAAAAACTCTGTATTGGGATAATCTAGTTGTGTGGCTTGACTCTTTTTTTCATACATGTTCCTGCTATAAAACAGGATGAGGGGTATGTGAGGAAAAGGCTCTCAACTGCATGTTGATTTGGTGGTTAAAGACTGCTCTCCAAATCAGTAGTAGGTATTTTCCCTTAGAGCCTTAAGAGCAACTCTTGGCAGGAAAAGATCTGTCTTTTACCTCCTGGTAGCTTGTCTCGACCACTGTTTTGAAACTGAGCCATTTATGCAGTAGGGAAAAAAGAAGCTCCAAGAGTCTAGAAAGAGCAAGTGAAAAGGGTTCTGGGAACAAATTCTGCATTACAGCAGCAGTACTTAGGGAGCAGGACACCAGTTTTAAAAAGTAGTGAGTAGAGCTTGATTTACTGCAGTGAAGAGGGAATCTGAACCTGTGTGTCCTACCTCTGAGAACTGCTTTAACAGGTGAGTGAAGGAGAAAAGATTCAATCACTGTAAAGAGGTTTTTCTGTTCTCTCTCTGAATGTGAGGCTGTGTTAAACTCTGCACTAAACACTAATGCTGTGCCACTGCTGTGTGTGTGAGTAGGGCTCTGCCTTTGTTGGTCTCAGCCTATGCACAGTGCCTGACTGCAGTGACTATGGGAACTTTCAGATCCTAACTGAGGCACCTAATGATACTAGACAGCCAATCCACATTTGGGATCATAGTCTGATGTTTGGGCTCTGAAATTCTTGGTTTGGATCAGAGCCTTGGAAGTAACAAGCTCTGGGAGCATGCCTTACATCTAATGGGACAGTGAAAAAAGCCACAAAGGCCTTATCATGATAAAGTAACAGTAGGTAGTGCCCTTTGATTATATACAAATGTTCCTGGCAACTGATAGAAACAGGATTCCAGCCTTAAATGATACTAGAGACATCTTTATACCAGAACAAAAGAATAAGTTTGTACCTACTGTAGAATTCAAATTGTTCATTTGTGTAGTAGGATGTTGGAATAAAGTTAGCATATCAGTTTACATCCCTACACTGGATGTGGTAAATAGAGTCTGAAGAGCCTGGTGAGGCAGACAGGTCTAAGACACTTGAGCAAGAAGCAGTTGCCTTTGTGGAGCTGAAGGGGCAGGGCAGTATATTAGGACAGTGAGACTCAGTGGATCAAATGGGCCTTCCCTTTGATCTCAAGAGTCCTTCTCACACTGAAATTGGCTGTTCCTGTTTCCTGAACAGTCATTTAGTACCTTGAATTTGCTTTCTCAGATGAATAGGTTCATGCTTTTTATAAGTTTCAAGAGACTGCAGCATTTCTTCATCAGATACAGTATTAATGTGAAGGAGCTGTAAAGATTCTCTGCCTCCTTGGCTTTGCCTGTCCTGATCCTGTGCATTTGCTTCTGCCCAGTCACAAGAGACCAGCTGCAGTTTAAAGAAAATATGCAGGGAGTTTATGTTGCATTCTTGGAAAACCAGCCTTGCATGAGCAGGAGCATGGCTGCTCTGCCCTATGGAAATGTGAGTCCAGACCCTCAGGAGCCAACCTAGCTCAGTAGGTAGACACTGGACCAGGAACTAGGAAGTACAAGTTCTCTGCAGAGTCCTGCTGGTTCACAGCCACATCTGTGGCTGTTGTTTTGCCTGTTTGCCTGTAAAAGGAAGCCAGCTTTACCCTCCTGCGTAAGTCCTGGAGTGGGGAGGGAGTAAGATGCTGTGTTTAGGTCCAATATTATGCAAATTGAATGAAAGGATTGCACATGTCAATATAGATACACAGATCAGTAAGGTGCGATTTACCATACAAGTTTTAAGGATTAGATACTATAGCTGAAGTCCCACAGAATAATCTTGAAACTCACATCTTGCTGGCCAGACTAGTGCTTTTAGTTATGCCATTTAGTGTTTGATTGACTCCAGAACTGGAAGCAGATGGACTGAATCCAGTTTCATCACTAGCCCTATGAAGGGGGAAAAAATGCCCACCCAAAGCCACAAACCTACCTAGAAGGACTGCATTGCCATTTCAATCATCCTGGCACTTACCAATTACAACCAAGGGGCATATAAGATAATGCGTCAAGTTCTAGCTGTTGCTTGGCTATAAGAGGAATTATCCCACATTCCATATGATTAAAACACAGTAAAGCAAAAAAACCACCCTGATCTTAAGTTGGGGGGAAGAATAAGGAAGAGCAAGGTACCTCTACATCTATGTTGCTCTTCTGTGACAATTCCAGAGATGCTTTTTCCAGTTTTACGTGAAACAGATTAGCAACAGAGCAATTCAAGCCCAACCAGTTCCCTGCCCTCATCAGCTATTTAAGTGAGTAGTATCTAGTCCATTGGTAAGTCAGACACTGACTCAAGCAGACTTCACTAAAAGAAGTAGAATCAGAACTGCCATTATATATTTAGCTTCTGTCTAAACCAGCCCATATTTTCCAGCAACAGTTCTGATGTTTATAACCACATCCCATCTTAGAAGTAGCATGATGTCTCCTTCTGGTAGAGGTGAACCCAACCCAAGTCTCCAGATCCATCCCTAAATAACTGCAAGCGGGTTTGTTAGATCAGACCTCTGTAACTAAACACCTAAATGCAAGTGTGTCTGGTGAAGGAGGACAGCCAAATGAGAAAGCGTAACATGTTAGATCACTCATCTTTGTGCTTTCACTTAGTGGTACATAGGCCTTACTCACCCCTCAAGAACTGCCACATCATGGAAATGCAGTTCCAAGTTCAAAATTTATTACAGAATTTGGAACCAGCCCAGTTTTGAATCTTGACACCAGATGAGTGTGTGACACATTCCCAGATTCCCAGCCTTTAGGTCAGGCAACAAAACCCCTCTCCAGGAAAGGGGAATAATCCTGACCAATTGAAGGCAGGTCCAAACCACAACTCTGAATCTTTGGCACAGAGAAGTATCAAACTTGGCCCCTGTCAGGGCAGCGGGTCAAAACAACCCCTGCCCCAGATACCAAGCTAGTCATTGCCAAAGTAGTCTGAACCCATGCTGGAAACAACATAGAGGCCTTGAACCCAAACCACATCCAGCTCCACTTCCTCTCCTGGTTTTAGGACAAGCATGACTGGTTTTAATGAGGCACAGCCAATATGCCAGGAAGAGAGGGCTCTGAATATATCATTTTGATCTTGGCCAAAGGAAGGGGCACAAGGAGGGTTAGAAACCATACTTGGAATATTTAATGGACCATTTTGCTCTCTTTTCACCACATCAGTAGGAAGAGAAAGTTCAGCACTCACAGTCTCAAGGCTGCTCAAGAGCACCACTACTCTGGGACTTTGGGCATCACTGGTTACCAGCCAAGTTATTTAACAGCACCTTCTTTTTCAACATACAAGGTATAGCTACGATCTCTGCTGAGCAGAATCCTGTTCTCCAGCTTTTTGCTAACTGGAGACCAGTTCAAACTCAGAAGGTACTGGAGCAGTTTAACTCTTCCACAGATATTTTCCTGTTTATACTGTAGTGAAAAATATATTTTATCAGGTTTCTTAAAGAGAGGTCAGCTTAACTCCTTGTGAGCAGTCAGGGTTCCCCATGTCCACACCACCAGAGCTCACAAGTGCAAGGTACTCCCTGCTCCCTTTCCTCCCTACCAAAAAGTTTCTGTGGCGTAGCCATTCTGAATCTGGCCATAAGAGGGAGATAAACTATTACTTCATTTCTCAATCTTGATGCCTTCTTACAAAACCTGAGCAGATACAGGACTCCAAAGCCTTTGCTGACTCCAGAGTGAATCAACTCTCCAAGGTGTGGAGGCAGTTCTCACAAAGCATTTCCATGAACTCTGACTGTACTTGTCTAAAGCAAATCACACAACAGGTATTTTAACTTCTCAAGTGGTTTAATAGAAACAAATATCAATTGGGATTAGGGAGGGCCTGGGGAGAAAAGGGAACAGCCCAAATGAGAACACGGATTTAGGATGTGAAATTGTAAATTCTGACCTGCCCAAATCAGTAATTCACTGATCTGGTCCAGCGTGAACAAGGTTGAGGCTATAACAGAAGTAGCAGTGCCTGAGGGTGTAGATGGTAGTGCCATGAGATGGTATCAGAATCATGGCTTCAGCCCTTGCATTTTTGTGATTCAAGTGCTGAGCCCACATCAGTGCCAAGTCAGCCTTGGAAACATGACTGGGCAGTAACCAGCCC